AGAAGTTTTCACTTAGACTATGTTCTAGATGCATTTTTTGATTGTATACCTCGTCTGCCTTAAACATGGAGAATCATAGGTATACCTTTGGGTATGTCCTGAAAGAACACAACCCTAGGGTGATAAGCTGAAGGAATTCATCAAATCTTTGTGAGGGATTAGGTTATCTGTAAACCACAGAAATCGGGTTGACATTTACGGGACTCGGGAATCTACGCATAGTAAAAGAGATCATGAGATGATCTGTCTTTAGAGTCAGTAAATTGAAGATGAAAGAAAGGGCCTTGAAGGTCGTAGGCATGTGAGGATGAAAACAAAAATTTTCAAAGCGAAAACACACATACCAATCAAGATACATACTCTAGGACAGAGAGATACCTTGTTCGTAACTCAAAACTCGAAGGTGATCAGTGTTAGGCTTGAAGGTTCAAACTCTCTAATGTTGATCCACACCACCCTTTGTCAAGACGCAAGAACTCTTCTTGAAAAGCCACCAATTCGAACACCACAAAGGAGCAAGCTAGGCATCCCTTGTGAAGAGGTAGGAGGCTCGGTTTCAATATGTTTAGATGAGAGAATTTTCAGCAATAAAACTCACACAAAGTGGCGCACAAATTGTAGGAGAGAATGGATTTTTATTTTCCAAAATAACCTAAGGAGAATATCACAAAAAGGAAACACTTAAGGAGATAAAAGAGGAATATATTTGAATCAGATTTTTCACCAAAAATCTGATCATGGAGCGCCCCTTTTGTGGAGGAAAGAGTGGAGTTGTTGCAAATCAAATCTAGTCAACAAACTCCTATCCTATCCTCTTAAAACTAAGTCTGCACCTAGTCAATATTCTGACCTAATAACCATTATATGATCAGCCATATTGTGCGCCCCAATCAGCCCAAAATCATTCCAAAAATATTGATCAGTTGCAATTCAAATTGAATCAACTAAATCAAATATTTCCACAACCAACCAAATCTGAATGGAGCTTGATTTGTTGATTAAATGACCATCATTAAGCCACCAAATCAGCGCCACAATCATCTTTGATGATGTCCAAAGATCTCCTCTTGATACTTGGGATTTGATCTTGACAAGATACTATCAAGATCTTATCCTTTCCTTTTGTTATGAAACTTCCTTTCATAGACAATTCAAATTTGAACATTCTAATTTAAATATTCAAATATTTAAATTCAAAATTCAAATTCATAATTTAAATTTTAAATTTAAACATTAGATAATTATTTTAACTAATTAAATTAATTAATAATGTCTTGGACCATCCAAGCCCATTACAACAATCCATGCGCCCTTTTCCCTCTAAGGTGGGCATCCAAACTTCTTCTTGGGCTAACAACCATTATTAGGCCCAAAACCTTTAATGCTATAATGTCAAGACAATAAGGTGTAAGTGTATGACCCATTAGGCCCAACTTAGCCACTGACATAATGAGTGCAACGTTGAAAAGAAGTTGTGATAATTGACATAATGGGTGCAACCATTATTAGCCATTAAACATTAAATACACCTGTTCCACTCACTCAATCTCTTTGACCACTTTTCAGGAAACGTTGAAAAGAAGTTTTCATAAAGCATAAGTGGTGCAACAATCAAGCAAGAGGAAACGTGCGCAACAGGGAATAAACAATTCCTATTAGCTAAGAGGAAAGCAAGGCATGGGGATGATCAGAAGGAAAGACAAATCTCAACAATAACTGTCTCATCGAGCCACTTTCGTCCCTCAAAGCACTATTCACACTGCCTCTTTCATGCAGTCAAGAAAACAACTCCAAGGGAATTACACACTTTGCCACTCATTCTTCTGCTTATAAATAGGACGTTCCAGCACGAAGAACATCATCGAATTCCTTAAGAATAGATCACTTAGTTTATTTTGTAGTTTTTTCCCATTTGTATATAGTTTTAGCTGTAGTTAAGTGACAACACTTCTTCTCTATTCTAAATCACTCACTTGAGACTCCTCACAAGTAACAACCGTCTACTCTGCTTTTCAATTTATTGTAACCTAATTTGTTTCCACTTAAATATAAGTATTATTTCTCTCCTTTCCACTCGTTATCTCTGAACTGAATCTCGGGTCTATGGGATTTCAGTTTGGAATAATTATGTTTAAAGTAGTAGCCATGGGCTAAACTATCTGTGGAACAGAAAAACTGCAAAGCTCTTAAAGAATTATTTTCAAAACTCTTGTACTGAAGCTTTTGTGTTTCTCTGGTTAAGTGAGCTATACTCATTGTGTATCAATGGAAATTGAACACATACTGAGAGAGGAACTTCCATAAGGAAGGGATTTCAAACAGCTTAACTAGAGGGGGAAGGCAGTCTTGTGGAAACAATATTGCTGGTTGCCTTAGGAATAAGGGACCACCTCGTTCATTTGAAGGTTCTGTGCTAAGTCACTGTTGGAGTCAAGGGAGCCATAGGAATATGGAAACTTGTGAGCCATTTAGTCCATGAGCTGAGGAATCAGAGTTGGCAGTGAAGAGACTGGGACAAATACAAAAGTTGTAAGTCTTAAGTAGAGAAAATAGCTATTTAAGAATGGAGAAGTGGATTCGTTCCTTCAGTTAAAACTGTTTTAAACCCCCCACACTGTTTTCTCTTAATTACTGTTATTACTGTTTGTATTTTTCTCTTTATTCAATCTTGTATCTATAAATCTCTCATGAATATTGATGTTCCTTCTCTCAACAAGAAGGGTATCATATATAACGAAGCGATGAACTATTTGCTGTCAGATTGAACATACTGTTCTTGAGGAACATTGTCAAGACAGTTGGGAACGTTTGACCAAACAGGTTAATTACTAACTTTTATTTTCATTTTCATTCTTTCTAAAATAGTTTAAGGCATTAATTAGAGTTCTATCCTCATGGAAACGATAATCTGAGCACTAATAGTCCCTTTATTACTTGATGCGTGCACTTGCACACTTGGGTTGAAAGTAAGAGAACACAAGTGTTTTCTCTTACTGAACTAGAACGTTCTTCATCATAATATATTTTTCACCCAACAAGCTTTGACCCAACAAGTTTTTGGCGCCGTTGCCGGGGATAGTTACACTAATTTTTTTTCCTTAATACTGTTTTAAGAACATACTCTGTATATTTCATTTTCATTTTTTTAATTTTTCTTTTGTCACATATTCTGCTGTTCATATTATCTGTGTTTTATGGTTTATGAGTGAAGAATCTGAAACAGATTCTCACCACTCCATTGAAATACCTGAGTTCTTCTTTGACCCTGAACCATAATGTACTTTACATAGGAGAAGAAGAGATCTCAGGGAAAATATTTGTGAAAATATGGTTGATCATAACAATAATAATGATAAAATTCCTCCTGAACAGAACTTCAGAGCTTTGGCTGCTCCTTTCAGGAACAGACCAGAAAGGGGAGTAATCCTTCCCCCATTAGCTCCCAACTTTGAACTCAAACCTATCTTGTTTCACATGAATAGGGAAGCAAGAGTCTTCAATAGACTCCCTGCAGAAGATCCTTACACATACCTCACAAATTTCCAAGATATTTGTGATAATTTCAGAACTGAGGGTGTAACAGAGAAAAGTATGACAATGAGGTTGTTTCCTCATTCCTTGGGCTCAAAAGAAAAAACATGGATGAAGACCCTCACCTCTGGTTCCATACACTCTTGGGAGGAACTTTCTAATAAGTTCATAGAAAGATTTCTCCCTATGTCTCGCCAAGCTGATGATAGAGCAGAGCTGTCTAATTTTAGAATGTTTATGGAGAAAATCTCTACGAAGCTTGGGTGAGATATAAGGATATCATTAGAAAGTGCCCAAACCATGGGGTGGAAAGTTGGGGAATTTTACAGTCTTTTTATAAAGGGATTGATCATACTTCTCAATCACATTTAGACTTTGCTGCATGAGGATATTTCTTTATAGGAACTCTTGAATCCAGGTACGAAATCATAGAAGGCACTGCAGAAAGATGTCTCCAATGGCCACTAGACAGGGTGAGCCCAGTAAGGAAACCAGGCATGCTAGAATTAGACAAACAAACTGCCACTGAGTCTCAACTGGCCACACTGATGAATGAGGTGAAGAATCTGAAAGCTGATCAAGAACAACCAAGGATGGAAGTCTTACAACTCACAGCAATTGAGAGTGAACCTTGCTCAACCTGTGGGGACCTTCATGATTCAACAGACTGCCCATCCACTGCTTTGGTGTGTTATGCAAAAAATTTGGGAACAGAAACTTCACCCAATCCAGAGACAATCAGCAAGCAGGAAGCAACAATAATCAAAATCCTGGAGGAACCATAGTGAAAGATCATAACCATAATCCTCAATGGGGACCACCCACAAACCAAAGACCATAAACAATCAACATCAGCAATATCAACAAAGCAGCAGAAATTGAGCATATGAACCACAAAGAAAAACCAATTATGCTCCATTCCACAGAGATGACCAACGCATCAATACCTTGGAGAATTATGTCAAAGAATATGTCACCAGGAATGATGCTGTGGTCAGAAATATTGAATCCCACCTGGGACAGATAGCTGCCAGCCTCAACACTAGTATACCAAAAATTTTATCAGAAGGAATTGATGTTCCCCCCAAATCTCATGCAGAACAAATCAAGGCAGTTACATTGAGGATTGGAAAAATCACTACGCAACCCACAATCACGCCTAAAACTACTACCTTAAATACTGGGCGGAATGTGATGACCCACCTGAAGAATCTCCAAAAGCATCACAACAACTACCTCTACATGTAGCTGTCGAACAAAGTCTAGAGTTTGGAGAAGATATTAAAGCTGATAAAATCCTAGTAGACAAAAGTCGAACAATCAGTCCACCACAACACAAGCAAGTACCAGTCAAAATTCTGTTCCCCCAAAGAACAAGAAAGCAACAAGATGAAAAACAGTTTGAGAAATTTTTGGATATTTTAAAACAACTCCACATCAACATACCCCTGGTGGACGCTCTGGAACAAATGCCCAAGTACGTCAAATTCATGAAAGACGTTCTCTCCAAGAAAAGAGGAATAATAGAACATGAAACTGTGAAGATGATGCAAGAAAGCTGCCAATACTTGGGCAAACTCTCACCCAAGCTGCAGGATCCAGGAAGCTTTACCATCCCTTGTGTAATAGGAAACACTTACCAAGGTAAGGCCTTGTGTGACCTAGGGGCAAGCATCAATCTTATGCCTTCATCAGTTTTTAAACAATTAGCCACAGGACTGGCAAAGCCAACCACTGTGACGTTACAGATCGCAGACAGATCCATTGTCAAACCGGAAGGAAAGGTAGAAGATCTACTAGTTAGAGTAGATAAATTCATCTTTCCCGCTGACTTCATCATTTTGGACTATGAAGCTGATATTGATGTTCCCATCATCTTGGGGAGATCGTTCCTAGCAACTAGAGGAGCGTTCATCAATGTTCAAAAAGGGGAACTTACCATGAGAGTACATGATGATGAAGTTAAGTTCAATGTCGTTAAAGCAATGAAATTTCATGATGAGGAAGAAGACTTGGAAGAATGCTCTGCAATCACTCTATTAGACAACCAGAGTCACCTGAAACCAGAAGGTGAAGAAACAACAGAAGAACAAGCTCTACTACAGAAAGAAGAACAAAATTGCTATCTGCAGGAAAGGAAACCTGAACCCCTGCAGAGAACTGAGAAAGAAAAACAGGTCAAAAGACCATCTTCAAAACAACCTCCTGACTTGGAACCTAAGCTCTTCCCTAGCACTTGAAATATGCATATCTGGGAAGCAATAACACCCTGCTTGTCATCATCTCCTCACTCCCCACGGAGAAACAAGAAGAACTACTGATCTGCAGGCTAAAAAAATACCAGGGAGCTATTGGTTGGACCATAGCAGACCTCAAAGGTATCAGTCCCTCTTTTTGTATGCATAAGATATTATTAACTGATCCTAACAATTTTTCAGTAGAGCACCAAAGGAGATTAAATCCCATCATGAAAGAGGTGGTTAGAAAGGAAGTTATCAAGTGGTTAGACACATGCATCATATATCCTATCTCAGACAGCAGTTGGGTAAGTCCTGTCCAGTGTGTTCCCAAAAAAGGGGGCATAACTGTAGAATTGAATGCAAGAAATGAACCGATCCCTGTCAGGAAAGTTACAGGATGGAGAATTTTCCAGGACTATGGGAAGCTTAATAATGTCACCAAAAAAGACCACTTTGCACTTCCCTTTACAGATCAGATGTTGGATCACCTCGCAGGTAAAGAGTACTTATGTTTTCTTTAAGGTTATTCTGGATATAACCAAATTGCTGTAGCACCAGAGGATCAACACAAAACCAACTTCACTTGTCCCTACTGAACGTTTGCCTTCAGAAGGATGCCTTTCGGATTATGCAATGCACCAGCGACGTTCCAAAGGTGTATGTTTTCTATTTTTTCTAATTTGATAGGTGAAGGAGTGGAAGTCTTCATGGACGACTTCTCAGTTTTGGGAACGTCGTATGATCACTGTCTGGTTAACCTAGAAGAAGTTCTTCAAAGATGTCTCTCTTCTAATCTAGTTCTTAATTGGGAGAAATGTCATTTCATGGTGAAAGAAGGAATTGTCTTAGGACATAAAATCTCCAGGTTTGGATTAGAAGTGGACCAAGCCAAAGTAGAAGCAATAACAAAGATGCCACATCTGGTGTGTGTTAAAATGCTGAGACCATTTCTTGGGCATGCAGGTTTCTACAAACGGTTCATTAAAGACTTTTCAAAGATAGCCAAACCTCTGTGCCATTTGCTGGAAAAAGATGTGAAATTTGAATTCAATTCTGATTGTTTGAAGGCTTTTGAAGCTTTGAAAAGTAAATTAGTAACTACGCCTGTTATTCAACCTCAAGACTGGAATTTACCCTTTGAATTAATGTGTGATGCAAGTGACCAAGCTATAGGGGTGGTTCTAGGCCAGAGGAAGGATAAACTCTTTCGTAGCATATACTATGCTAGCAAAACTTTGAATGAAGCTCGAGTGAACTACACGGTCACTGAAAAAGAGCTGTTGGCTGTAGTATATGCCTGCAAAAAGTTCAGGCCATACATTATGGGATCCAAAGTCATTATTCACACTGACCATGCAGCTCTCAGATACCTATTTGCCAAGAAAGAAGCAAAACCACGGTTAATAAGATGGATCCTACTGTTGCAAGAATTCAATCTGGAGATCGAAGAACGGAAAGGTTGTGAAAACCAAATTGCAGATCATCTGTCCAGATTGGAATATATTGAAGTTGGACTATCCATCAAGGAGACGTTCCCCGACGAGCAATTATTTGTTATCTATATCAAAGAAGTTGAAGTTCCTTGGTTTGCTGATATAGCTAACTTCCTTGCAGCAGGGCTGGAACCATATGAAGCAAACAGGATGCAGAAAAAGAAATTTTTTCATGACTGTAGGAGCTATCTCTGGGATGAACCTTTATTATTCAAAAGATTTATGCACCAAATGATAAGGAGGTGTGTCCCAGAGGAAGAGCAACCTCAAATCCTTTTTCACTGCCATTCGTCCCCCTATGGAGGCCATTTAGGCAGAATCAAAACTGCATCCAAGATACTTCAATCAGGTTTTTATTGGCCTTCCCTTTTTAAAGATGCTCTTCAATATGCTAAACAATGTGATAAATGTAAGAGGGAAGGTAACTTAACCAGACAGAATGAAATATCCCTTAATCCCATATTAGAAGTTGAATTGTTTGATGTATGGGGCATTGATTTCATGGGGACTTTTCCCCCTTCATGTGGGAACAAATTTATATTGATGGCTATTGATTACGTAAGCAAGTGGGTGGAAGCTGTTGCTTTGCCCACTAATGATGCTAAGGTGGTTATAAAATTTCTAAAGAAAGTTTTTTTCGACAAGATATGGGACCCCCTGCTGTATCATCAGTGACGGTGGGAAACACTTCATTAACCGCCAGTTTGAGAGGTTGTTGGAAAAATATGGAGTCAAACAAAAAGTTGCAACTCCATATCATCCACAGACCAGTGGACTTATCGAAGTCTCTAATCGAGAGGTTAAGAGGATTCTAGAGAAGGTTGTTAACCCTTCTCGGAAAGACTGGTCTCTCAAACTAGATGAGGCATTATGGGCTTACAGAACAACTTACAGAATGCACTTAGGATGTTCCCCTTACAGATTAATATTTGGCAAAGCATGCCACCTTCCTCTAGAATTAGAACACAAAGCATATTGGGAAGTCTACGCTCTCAACATAGATGAGAAGGCAGACGGGGAAAAGAGACTGCTACAGCTTGAGGAACTGGAAGAATTCAGAGGAAGCACATATGAAAATCACAAACCGTACAAAGAAAAAATGAAATAGTGTCACGATAAAAGAATCAGGAACATAGAGCTCAAGGTTGGTCAGAAAGTGTAGTTAATCAACTCCAGACTCCCACTGTTTCCAGGAAAGCTCAAATCAAGATGGACTGGTCCATACCAAATAGTGAAAGACGCAGGAAACATAGCTTCTGAGATCCAAGAAACTGAACATGGCCGCGCTTTTAAAGTCAACGAGCACAGGTTAAAACTGTATTCTGATGAAACATTCAATGAAAATGAGGAAAGTATCCCTCTCTCTGATTCCAATTGAGAATTAAGTAACATGTCTAGCTAAAGACACTAAACTAAGCACTGACTGGGAGGCAACCCAGTGGATACCTTTGCCCTTTAACATCCCAAATAGGGAGGGAACATCTGATGTTCACCTCTAATCCAAACAATTGGCCTACGTTCCGTGGCAGGAACGTAGTTTTGGGGTAATTCAAAAACCACATACACCCATTTATTTCTTTCTTGTTAATTTCCATTTGTTTCCATTTTTGTTCCCTAATGTAAACTTAATTCCTTTTTGAAATAGAAATTTGTTTTTTGTTCAAACTGATTAGAGCATAAATTTCAGTTATAGTACTGTGGCTGTGAAAATTTGAATAACCAATTGCATGAAACACAAAGTCAATGAGTAATTATTCTTGTTCTTACTCTGAATGCTTGAGATAGGAAAGGTGAAGCGAATTTAATCTTCAGATTTTTGAAGGATACTGATCTGTGTGAACTAAAACTGGTGAGGAACGAAAAATGCCAAACACTTACTCATGAGAGCGTTCCTAAGGTGTCACCACAATGAAACTTCTAAACTTGCATTGATGTTGTAAGTACTGCTAAAGAATAGGTGAATTTCACTATTAAGGATCAACCTTGAAACACTCACACTCTTCACAACCAAACAAACACTTCCATTCCCATTCACACCACAGCACAATCCCACACACCCATACTCATCCCCAGGTCAAAAAAAAGGGGCAAGGAACAAATCCAACAGGAGCAAAAAGGGCAAGAAGAAAGAAAACAAAGAAAAATGGGAACAATCATTCAAAAGAATTCAGAAGAAGATACCAAACAAGATTTCCCCAAAGGAAGAAAAGAAGGTACAAAAAGATAAGGTGTTCCCTCAAACAGAAAAGTTCAGCTCTGAAACAAAAAAAATGAAAAATGTTCCTTGACCCAAGACCTGTGACCATTCCATTCTAAAACTCCCATCAATCCTTTTCACAAAGATCCTTTGAAATCGGAGACACCTGCACTTCTTAGGAAAGCAGCAGATAAGCAAGTTTGAAGAATCACATCCAGGAATAGACAGAGAAACACCAAGCCCTGAGTGATAGTGAGACAGAAGATCAGCACCCTTCACTTACCTTGGACCAAATTCTTTTTACTTGTCACCTATGGAAAGTAGTTCAGTCTTTGAAAAGATTACGATTCCTTCCTGACTTAAGTTTCTGAAGTTGAGCTATTCTTTGAAATTGAGCAGCCTAAGCCACTATTTCTGAGTTTTTTGAGGACAACCAATAGTTTAGTTTTGGGGTGTTTGATGGGACAAAAATTCATTCCCATCTAAGCCCATTTTGATGGCAAAATACCATTTGTTCCCTCATCTGATGAGCAACTTTAGCACTAAAAGCACATGTTTAATATCTTTATGACATAAACACAGTGGGGAATGAATGGTGACGTAATCCTTTGGAAAATATATAAAAAGGGGAACAGATTGGTAACATTAAATACACCTGCTCCACTCACTCAATCTCTCTGACCACTTTTCAAGAAACTTTGAAAAGAAGTTTCCATAAAGCATAAGTGGTGCAGCAATCAAGCAAGAGGAAACGTGCACAGCAGGGAATAAACAGTTCTTATTGGCTAAAAGGAAAGCAAGGCATGGGGACGATAAAAAGGAAAGACAAATCTCAAAAATAATTGTCCCATCCAGCCACTTGCGTCCCTCAAAGCACTGTTCACACCGCCTCTTTCATGAAGTCAAGAAAACAACTCCAAGGGAATTACACATTTCACCACTCACTCTTTTGCCTATAAATAGGACGTTCCAGCACGAAGAACATCATCAAATTTCTTAAGAAGAGATCACTTAGTTTATTTTGTAGTTTTTTTCCCTTTTGTATAGTTTTAGCTGTAGTTAAGTGACAACACTTCTTCTCTATTCTATATCACTCACTTGAGACTCCTCATGAGCAACAACCATCTTCTCCACTTTCCATTTTATTGTAACCTAATTTGTTTCCAATTAAATATAAGTGTTATTTTTCTCTTTCCACTCGTTATCTCTAAACAGAATCTCGGGTCTATGGGATTTCAGTTTGGAATAATTATGTTTAAAGTAGTAGCCATGGGCTAAACTATATGTGGAACGGAAAAAACTGCAAAGCT